ATATATGACTGTAAAGTGCTTTTATAAATAAAGGTGATGATGATGATGATGATGATGATGATGATGTTGCTAAGTGGCTATTAGGTGTATTCTCACATGTTTGCTCAATCTGAGAGCCTCTGGGTGAATGTGCTGCTCTAAACGTTGCATTTGGCTTCCTGGTTTTTAATTATTTGGGAACGTTCAATGCCAACGGAGTTCACCAACGTTTTATTTTGAAGGCCAGCTCAACGGGTGAGAAATGTTGTTCCTATTTTTTCCGCTCTGGTTTGCTATGCTAGTAAATACTCCGTTACGAGCGATTCTGTTGAAAAAGTTAAGAGTTTGTAAGGCGTGAGTTACGGCGACAGTAGCCCAAAAATAATACTCATAAAAAAGCAACCAGAGACTCTGAGTCATTACAGTGTAATCGCTGATATGATCCAATACTGTTAGATTCCAGCCATGTTTGCCCTAATAACTAATAACTCCACGGTGCATGATCCATGTGATCTTCAGTAGATGCAATTACATCATTATACATTTAGCTTTACATGATGAGATTTTATTTTCTCTGGACAAGAAATATACGACGTGGGCCGCCATTAGATGAAATTTAAATAACTGGTAGAGAATAGGCACTAAGGTTAAAGTTTTACAAGAATCAATACATTTTTATGCATTTAATCTACTGATTTATGTTTATAATTTCTCAAGAGAGCTAGAAGTGAGTTAACTTGTAAATATTTTACAGGAGGAAAAATATCGATATATATATCGTGTATCGGAAGTTTTGGTCCATATCGCCAAGCCCTAACATCTCAATAATTTAAAGGGACATTATGGAAGTTTGACAGCCAAAACATGTATAGAAATAATAAATGTCTTCTTCATACATTCTCCTGCAATGCCCTGGTCCTGTAGAATGAGCCCTGGCATTTTTACTGTGATTGCCTGTTTTTCTGTAAAACCACAGAAAAAGAGAGATGCTCGGGTCGAGCAGGCTGCTTCATGCGCGTTCACGCTCAGGCATAGCCCGTAGCATTTGCTATCAGTAGCTTTAGCAGCAGAGAGAGAGGTAGTGCCACTTTGTCGCTGTTCCTAACGCCTAGTGACAAAGCTAGCTACATTTCTGAGGACCCTTAGCTACTTTCTGTAGAACTTTCTTCTAGATATTTCCTGCAAATGAGCAACAAAATAGCCATTTTCGCTCTGAACCGTTCTTTGGTTTGACGCAGTTTCAGCTGTCATCAAGGATATAAAAGTTACAGATACTCTGAATGTTACTAGAGTGTAGCTCACCTAGTAAGATGTCTGACTCTCATGTAGAAGTCCCGGGTTTGACTCTGGATGTGAACATAGTTTATTTAGAGTTTCTTTTTTACATTAATGGTATATTTTTTACAGTAAGATGCCCAAATTTTTATTTGAGACTCGCCGAACGGCATTGAATTCACAGATAAAAAAGATGTGGGTTCAACTTTCATTTTGGAACAATTTTTCAAGCAAGGGAAGGGAATGATCTGAGCATGCAGGAGGACTGACCCATCATAAACCTTTGTCGGCTGTGCTGAAGAGAAAGGTACAGAACCAAATTATTTAACTAATTAGCTGCTCGTTCTCCTGTCCTCTGTCCTCCGGGCCACACACACACACACACACACACACACACACACACACACACACACACACACACACAAGGGACTGTCTCAGCTGTTATTTTCGTTAAGGAGTGTGCACGTACAGCATGCGCACCTCATGCACGAGCCTACTATTGAAGCTACCGTTACGCTTTTGGCCTGAGGGGGCAATCGCGAGCATAAAAATTCAAAATTCCGTAAAGTCCCTTTAAGTTAATTTCTATAACTTATATATTACAATATATTATATACCTACGCTGCTCTCAGTTTTAGTTATTTACAAAGACCTTCTGCTGTTGGGACATGGAAAATTTGGTGAAGCTAGTTAGCCGTAGCACCAAGCATGAACTATGACATTTTTGAGATTAGATTTAAAAAAGCAGTAATCCACTTGGGTCTTTTACCCACTGTGACTAGCTGTTAGCTTGTCAGTCTGCTGAGAACTAATCTCTCTTTCAGAAACTGAGGTTGTTCAAAACACGATATACGACTCGTTTATGACCTTTTAACAGAAGAAGAGATGACAATACAGATTTCAGCAGCTCTGACCTGCCAACTATAAACCAGAGTGGTTTTGGGTGGATCTCTAAACACCAACGCTGTTTACAAAGACCTGAACTGTCTCTGGTAGCTTTTTCACCTTTTCTTTGGCAGCTTGATGAGCCCCATGTAGTTGAGGCAGAAGTTGATGAGTTCCTGCAGCAGCTCCTCCCCAAGATGGTTCTGAATCGCCTAAAAAAAAAACAGGAAACTAAATAAAACCTGACATTTTGCTCTGGTTTTAGTAGATGAAGACACTTTTAGTGTGCAAATGTAACCAGGAACGTGTAGCTAACACAATTCAGTTAGCTTCTCTGCTTGTTAAACTGTGAATTTGTGCACACTTACGTGTTTTGAGAGTAGTTTTCCATCTTTGTACTGAACCGTTCCATTTTCGGCAAACACATAATCAAACTTGTGGATGACTGGAGGAGAGGAGACAGGTGACATGAGAATTAAAGAAGCACAAAGATTATTTTTTTCTTTTTATTTAATTTATTCTTTAACTAACCAGGAAGGTTCCAATGAGATTAAAAACCTCATTTTCAAGGGAGTCCTGGCCAAGAGGCAGCAAATGTTTTCTGTTACACAGGCGTGTTGTGTACAAAACTACAGAAGGCAGTTACAACACAGGGAATCCATCTCAGGACTCTTAGCTTGGTTTTAAAAGTATTCAAGGAGATAGTCGGTTAAGTTTTCCTGCAGCCTGTTCCACGCAGAAGGAGCAGAGTGAGCGAAAGCCCTCTTGGCCAGTTCGGTGTGAGCAAAGGGAACACAAAATAACAGCTGATTGTTACACTTCTCTGTGAGATCAAGTTACAGATGTACACTGAGAAAAGTAATTTTTGAGAGAGGTATACATGATCTATATTAAATTTACTAGGTTATTGCACTTATCCAAGGAATTGTGAACTAATGGGTAAATTTGACCTATGCTACCCATTGTTTAATACTAACAACCGTTACATAGAAAACTACGGTAAAATATACCCCAAAACAATGAGTCCTGTGCTCCACATTGCGCATGCGCCAGACCGCGTTTTTTTGAGTGAACGAGCAAGACGGGGAATTCTGGATCCTCTCCAGCTGCCGTGGAGCTGCAGAAGTGAAGGTAAGCTTTGGTGTTGTTCATATCAAGAATGTGAATGGCCATTTCTGAATTGATGAGATATCACACTCCATTTGTATTATGCGTGCGTCTGTGTAGCGGTGCTCTTGAATTAAAACGTTTGAATCTGTCACTGGCGCCACCGTGGCTGGACACTACAGCAGTTAAGTTGCAATGAAATGTGTTCGCGGCCTGTGCTGTATCAGTTCCATTTCTTTTTTTCTTTTTTACAAGACTAGTCCATGTTCATGGCCAGGCCCGCACTGTCGTTCGTAACGGAGGAGATTGTGTTCATATTAAAATGTTCGGAGTTTTTAAGAAGAGCGCAGCACAGCACGCAGAGGGCGAATATTGGGATAACGTAGCTACAATTGCTTGCAGGTCTGGTCATTGTTGACCTTTTGTTTTGACTTTTAAAATTTTATTAAGATTCTGAGGAAAAATAATGACTCGTGAAAAATATTTACAGCCACTCTGCTGCAACTTTCGTGGTTCTTTTAGATCTCAGCAGGTCGGGAGAAAGATGATCCACGCCACCTCGACTTTATTATCCATTTGCGTTGTTTTTCCTTCTCTCTGACGGACAAATTCACTGATCCAGTGAAAGTGACGCTGTACGTCTGCTGCGTGCAGCATCATCTTTGCTTAACGAGAGGCTTGGAGCTTGCAATCTCCATTCAGCAGATTTGAAGCATATTTTGTTTATTTCACCATGTTAAGGACATGGTGGGTGTAAAAGACAAAAATATAGCTAATGATGACAGACGTAGCAGGAATGTAAAAAAATGTAGGCCAAAAAAGCGATACAGTAGATGTGCTTAAGTGTGGAAGTCAAAGTGTGCCACATCATCATACATATGTATGATTATGGGCCGCCAGGTGAGGGATCAGACAAAGAGCAGCCCAAAGACCTCTTATGATGATTTATATAAATGGAAACCGTGTTCCCTCGCCTGGACGTGGGTCACCGGGGCTCCCCTCTGGAGCCAGGCCCGGAGGTGGGGCACGTTGGCGAGCGCCTGGTGGCCGGGCTTTCACCCATGGAGCCCGGCCGGGCACAACCCGAAAAGGAAACATGGGTCCCCCTTCCCATGGGCTCACCACTCGTGGGAGGGGCCAAAGGGGTCGGGCGCAGTGTGTGACGGGTGGTAGTCGAGGGCGGGGACCTTGGCGGTCTGATCCTCGGCTACAGAAGCTGGCTCTTGGCACATGGAATGTCACCTCTCTGGTGGGGAAGGAGCCTGAGTTGGTGTGTGAGGTTGAGAGGTTCCGACTAGATCTAGTCGGACTCACCTCAACGCATCTGTAAACATACAGGCCTTCCATTTTGTTGGTTGGTTATGTTCTGGTGGCATGTAGAACTTGGGAGAGCAGGCTGCTGCCTGAGAGGTGGTTGGAGACGGAGTGTCTCCATGCTGCTTTGTTTTGGTCACTTATGAGCGTGAGGCGAGTGGTGTTACGACTCTTCCTGGGGAGTTTGGCTCGTGTGCAGAAAGGAAGGGACGATAACACGGGATTTAAAAGTTAAAATGATGGTCAGGTTTATTTACAACAACAACAACAAAAACATAAATCTTTCCATCCACAGGTTGGGAATAATAAAACTAATTCTGCCTGTGGGGAATTAAAACAAAAGTACAAATAAGTAGGGATGTCCCACTGGGCAAAGATTACTGGGTTCTGGACCAAAATAAGGATCTCCAAAGGTCCAAACTCTAAACTGGGCGGTTAAGCCAAACTCAAGGTGATATTTTAAACTAAACCGAAAACCCACAACCATAGGCGTCAGTTTAACCGGGGACACCGGGGACATGTCCCCGGCAAAATTTGTGATTGGCAGCTGTGTCCCCCCCACTTTCAAAAACGCCTGCTGATGAGGATTTTTGTTTTACCAGCTCAGATCTTATCCAGGGGTCGGCAACCTGTTCCCATCAAAGAACCATTATTACCCGTTTCCCACGGTAATTTTGGACGGACCTTAATAAGCAATGACTTAAGTGAAGCAGGCAGGTCGCGCTAGAAAATTTCGTTTAAAAAGATGTCATAAATGTGTTCCCCCGTCATTTTTATTACTAAAATATGAAGTAAAAACTCACAATTTAATTTTCATTCATTTGTCATTAATATGTAGTCTACACCCGTGCGTTAAGTGGACTATCTTCCAGTAAACGCACAGCATCCAGTCCACCTCTCCAAATGCGTAAAATGTGCATCAGCCGCTAGTTAGGCGCGCGCGCACCATCAGCTGATCAGCCCAGACAAGGGCAGAGCGACTAGAGAAAGACTAGAGGATAATTGTGTCTGGATGTGGATGGAGAATACATTTTACAGCAGCCTGATCATCATTTAAATACGTAAACCATCACCTGTCTTCTAGTCCACGCTATCAGCATTATTTTAATTGGTGTGTGTGTGTGTGTGTGTGTGTGTGTGTGTGTGTGTGTGTGTGTGTGTGTGTGTGTGTGTGTGTGTGTGTGTGTGTGTGTGTGTGTGTGTGTGTGTGAGTGAGTGAGTGAGTGAGTGAGTGAGTGAGTGAGTGTGTGTGTGTGTGTTTTCCACTTCAAACACTGGTCTAACCAACCAGACCAGCGTGTCCAGTAACACATTAATGTTACAATTAAACAGTTTCACTAGGAACGTTTCATCTGCCGTGGCCCGACCGCTTCTGCTCCACATGAACTTTGTGCGTGATCAAATGTCTCTACGCTTCATGCGGAAGACGGGAACAAGCGCTGTTCAGCCAAAGTTTCATAATTTCATAAAAAGAACATTTTCCAAGTGACACATCCCTCAGAGAGACCGGGTTTCCTGAACGCTTCAGTGGGAGGAAATCATCGCATGCGCGTGGTTCTGCACTGCGCTGGAACCCCAGATCTTCAGCTCACTGTCCACCGTGGGCGCTCCGAGCCGCGCTGAACACAGTGTCCAGTATAAAGCTCTGATGTTCTGATGGGAATATTTTACCTCCGCGTGTGCGTTAACAAAATGTCAGCTCATCCATGAGCATCCGTGTGCGTCGGGGTAATTTTTTCAAACCAAGCAACATCCTTGAGTTCATCTGTCAAAATAAACAGTCAAATGGAAATATATGTAACCTGCCGTTTAACTGTTTTGCCTTCCTGTGAAGATTGTTGCAAAGAGAAACAATTAAACTTGATTAACCCCAGAGCCACGCAGAGAACCAGGCAGTGCGCATGCGGGAAGGTTCCTCCCACTGAAGCCAGTGTTTTCCAAACCCGGTCTCTCAGAGAGACTTGTCACTTAGAAAATGTTCCCTGATTATGAAACTTTGGCTGAATAGTGCTTGTTCCTGGCTCCAATGTGGCGACACATCCAGGAGCCGTCTGAGGAGAAGCCCAGAATCTCACATCCTCTTCAGCTCATAAAGTGCCTATGATTACGCACAAGCGTGACCGGTCAACCACCGCAGACCGGGTTGGACCTGTTCAGGTTTACGCAGACAATCTACATTTAGAATTGGCATACAGGTGTAAAATTAATGCAGTAAAATATAAAGCATTTTATTTAAATATCCATTTATTATTTTACAAGCACAGAGAGTTGCATCAGATGGATGGAAGAGCCGCATGCGGCTCCAGAGCCGCGGATTGCCGACCCCTGTGCTAGCCTACTTTATTGTCCCCAGCAATTTTTAAACCCCACTCAAGTGTATGGTTATTGTCCCCAGCAATTCTGAAAACAAACTGACGCCCTTGCCCACAACACTCTAAATGTAATAAAAGGGAGATCTGCACCACAAAAAAGATGAACTCTAAACCAAAACGTAACCGCTTATCCAAACGCAAGAAGCTGTTAGCGAAAATGCTAACAGTAGCTTTACCAACGTTAAGTTCAAGTTACCAAGTTTAAATAAACCAAAAACACCCAGCAGCAAACAGACCAGCACGGAGGAGAGACTGCTACCACCAAAACAGCTCTCCTAATGTCTGAAAGAAGCTCCTTTATTAAGGGAGAAGCGCTCCCGGTGATTTTCTACATCTGCGGTAGAGACGGAGCAGCGCATCTGACCCCGGAAGTTGTTGTCCGTTGTCGGGAGACGAAGGCGGGCAAAACAAGAACGGAATCTAGTAGTGGACGGACGTTGTTTCGGGTCTTCGGTATTTGGTGGAGATGTTAGTGAAGGCGGAGAAGAGGGCGAACTAGAGGAGAAACAGGCAGATTCCTCCTCTATTTACAAACTCCTGGGGATGCAACAAGTGGGCGTGGCGCGTCGACTACCGGATCTGACGCTGACAAATTTTTAGAATCGAGCCGTCGACGTCATCGAGGCTTCGCTACAGCCCTAGTGATGATGTCCACACATCAGTAAGTGCATCAATAATCCTGGAAAAATATTCTTTTTCAGTCACATCCGCAGCCTTCCACAAGGTGAATGTGCTCTGCAGGGACTTGTTAGTAGCTGATGACACACCTCCTCATTATGCACCAACACGCCCCTTTTTCCTAAAGAGTGTGTTATGTTAAACGGGTTCATCTTCGGTCCAGGCATGCCCCCTACACTCTGTGTTAGAAATGATAAACCTGAATTTTCTACTACACAGGAACATGAGCAGTGACTCAGAACGAAGGAAGAAAACACGGACCTGCAGCCCTCAAGTAAAACCACATGACCGTTGCTCAGAACAATACGTTTGCATTCCAGCTTAGTCTAACATTTACAGATAGGCGTGTTGAAAACCTGTCAGTGCAGGTTGGGTTAAGGTTAAACGCCTGGTGTGTGGCTTGGCAGCAGCTCCAGGAGAGACATGCAACCTCATTGGTCAGTGACAGTGCATGAAGATTGTTGCTCCAGCTCAGAGAAGGAGAAAGGGCTTCCAAAATGCCGTAACAAAAAGGTCATGTCAGGTCAAGTGGATGAACCCGTAAGGAACTCACCATCATCTCCCTCCCCGAGCTGCTCTGCGATTTTTGGGTAGTCTGACCCCCCCACGATGCCGATCTTCACTTTCCTGCGCAGAGTCTGGAAGAACTCATCCAGCTTTGGGTCGATTTTCTGCAAATGACAAGAAAATTCACTTAAAAGTGAACAAAGCCTCCATTTGCTGGGAGACGCATGCCCATAACTCGTGTTTGGAAAGCAACATGAATGCAGGAAAACGTCATTAGATGGGGTGAACTGGGAGAGAAATGTTACGTCAGATGGTTTGAGCTGCAGCTGCATGGAGGTGCGGATGGTAGCACTGATGCCCTGCAGCAAACGAGTTGCAGGTCTGAATCCCAGCTGTAGCCTCTCTGTGCAAAGTTTGCATGTCCTCTACATGCATGCATGGACTTCCTCCCACAGAGCAAAAACATGCACGATCACTTAACTGGTGAGTAAAAATTGTGGGTGTGAGTGTTTCCCTGTGACACCTGTCCAGTGTCCCTCACCGATGTCCCTCTAACAGATGGCTCAGAAAATGAGCGAGTGAGTCTGAGCAGCACACTCAATAATCTGTGTCCTCGGATGACCCCATAACCATGACCAAAATGTTAGCATTCCACCCTAAAAATGACTCAGAAACATTAATGCTGACTGGAAGCTAACTACAAATATACATTTAAACTACAAACATGGAGATTTTTACACAGATGTTTGAGATCATGTTTTTAGGATAGATGTAAATGCAGCAGAGCAGAAAGGGCTGGAGGAGGTTCTAGAACAAACCTGGGCATTTTACGGCCCGCGGGCCACATACGGCCCTTTGGTTGACTTTGACCGGTCCGCGTAACGTTAATTGGAAATTACAAAATAAATGTATTTTTTCATTTTACCTCATGCATGGACTAAGGCTGCATTGCTTTTATTTTGAAGTTGTTTTTTTACGTGCACAATGACGCAATGCGTATAGCAACAAGTGCCCGCGGTTGACATGGTGATTGTAGCCCCCAGAAATGTCCGCTCATGCAAAAAAAAAAAGAAAGATAGATGCCGAATGCAGGATTTTCAACAAAAATTGGACTGCTAAGTATTTTTTTACTGAAGTCGGAGGTAAAGCCGTGTGTTTGGTTAGCAGGGAGGGGATTGCCGTGTTTTAGGACTACAATTTGAGTCGGCATTACGACAAGAAACACTCGGAAAAATACAAGAACATGTCTGATGCTGAGAGGGCACGGACATCCGAAGCTTTGCTAGCAAAGTTGCAAAAGCAGCAAGGCTGTTTTACTAAGCTTCACACATCCAGGGATGCAGCAACCAGGACCAGCTTTGTGATATCCCACAAAACAGCTAAAACAGCAAGCCGTTTTCGGAGGGAGAGTTTGTCAAAGAGTGCGTGGTGGACTCTGCCGCACTAATATGCCCTGAAAAAAAGGTGCATTTGAGCAAATCCCGCTGTCCAGGTGAACCGTGACCAGGAGGATCGAGGACATTGCGGGGAACCTGGAGCTTCAGCTGCAACGTGAAGTGGCAAGTTTTGACTTTTCCTCATTGGCCTTAGACGAGAGCTGTGATGTCCGCGACACGGCCCAGCTGCTCGTATTTGTCCGGGGGATAACGGAGCTCACAGAGGAGCTGGCAGCAATGCAGTCGATGAAAGGGATAATGACAGGGAGTGATCTTTTTACAGAGGTAAATGCGTGCACGGACTCTCTGGGATTGAAATGGGAGAGACTGTCAGCTGTCACAACAGACGGTTGTCCAAATCTTACAGGGAAAAATGTCGGACTTTTGAAACGCATGCAAGATAAAGTGACAGAAATTGATGCAGATCAAAAATTGGTGTTTTTGCATTGCATTATACACCAACATGTGTTGTGCAAGTCAGTGCTAAAAATCAACCGTGTTACTGATGTTGTTACTAAAATAATAAACTTCATCAGGGCGTGGGCGATGAATCACAGACAGTTTGTGGCTCTTTTGGAGGACTCCACACAGCTGTCAGATGGCTCAGCCTGGGGAAAGTGCTGAAGAGGGTTTGGGACTTGAAAGCAGAGATTCGAGAGTTTTGCGAGAGGAAAGGCTAAGACATCCCAGAGCTCTCAGATGAGGATTGGATGGCAGATTTTGCATTTGCTGTTGATGTGACTGCACTGATGAATGAACTGAACACCAGACTGCAAGGCAAGGGCCTTTTTGTTCATGAAATGCACAGCCTCGTGAAGGCCTTCATGAGAAAGCTGCAGTTTCTTTCAAGTCAACTGGAGAGCAACACTCTCACTCGCAAGCAAACCCTGAACGAAGTCACACCATCAGCTGATCACCTCAGCAGGTACTCATCCATGTTAGGAGCATTACATGGTGAGTTTTCAAGGCGTTTTGAAGATCTCAGAACAATCGAGGATGAAATGCACATGATTTCCTCTCCCTTTACCTGCAGTGTGGATAAAGCACCCAGTGATGTGCAGCTGGAACTCATTGACCTGCAGTCTGATGCAGTACTGAAGTCAGGATCTCTGCTGGATTTCTACTCTTCTCTTAAGGAGGAGAACTTTCCAAACCTGAGGAGACATGCTCAGAAGATGTTGGTTCACTTCGGCTCTACCTACATTTGTGAACAAACGTTTTCAATGATGAAGTTTACAAAATCCAGGTAAAGATCCTCTCTCACTGATGATCATTTGTCAGCTGTGCTTCGCATCTCCACCTCAGACATTCAACCTGACTCTGATGCACTCGTTAAAGCCCAGCAGAGACTAGATTTCTCTCACTGAATAAGAAAAAAAAAATCGCTTAAAAACACGAAATAAGGTGTTTGGACCACAAATGTAGGCAACTAGCAGTGAACTGGGACACTTTTTTTAAACTTCTTTCTCAAGATCACAGTTCAGTGATTTTATTATACAGACAATACTGTGTGTCTGTAGAATACTAAGAACCTCTTTCCAGCAATATTTGAAACTCAAAATGTGTTTGGGAGTGAATGTGACTGAAACTGTTAACTAATATAAGTCACAAATGTTTAACAAAAAACAAATGCGCACACTTTGTTTACCATTGCCTTGGGAAATTTGAATAAATCACATTTTTGTAAGCCGACCTCACTTTTTCCTTTTTGCTCATTTATAACATATAGTCTACTCTTACCAGCTTGAAAGAACAATAGTATTTACTGCTTTTTATAAAGAAATACCATTAATATCATGCATAATTGACTTCAGCCTTTTGGCCTGGCCCTCCACAATATTTTCTGTTTCTCATGTGGCCCCATGGAAAAAATAATTGCCCACCCCTGTTCTAGAAAAGCGTTACAAATGTGTCTGAATGAGCACATGGTGATGAGGAGAGGACACCGTGTGCTCTCTCCTCCTGACACTGGGGGGCAGGAGGAGAGGGAGGAGCTCCAGGAGGAGGCTGGTAAACCAAATAAACACAAATATGATGAGCTAAGAGCGACCAGAGTGTCTTACTTCTCTCGGCTGTGTCAAAGTGCCGTCCACATCAAACAGACACAGCACGCGTCGGTCCGACGGGAAGCCGGTAGCTTTCTCCATTTCCTCTACAAGTCTGAGGTCCGGTTCGGTGATTCACGGCATCTTAGTTTGCAGCACTCGGAGGAAATGTTAGCAAAGAAAAATAAACAGACTTGGAGGTTTTTAACGGGTCTGTTTTGGTTTTTGCTCCTCCTGTCTGCTCGAGCAGAGAGCCACGCCCCCTCCGTTTTCTGGTTCCCTCCGAATATCTCCAGGGTTCGGGTTCGGGTCCGTTCAGCTCAGACTGACCTTGTCAACGTGCCGTACGTGACATGGTTCTGCAGCGGTGGTACAGTGAGCGGAGCCATACACAGCCATGGGGACAGGGCGGGGTCTCTGGAGTGGGCGGGGCTACAGCCAGATGAACTTTTCCCTAGAAAGATGATTGTAGGGCAGGCCATTGTGGTAATTAAGCAAACTGCAGAGACACATTTGGAGATCTGTGGTACAACTTCAGAGAACTTTAATTTTTCTTTGCTGTCTAAAATGATCCATTCTTTCAGTTTTCTTTCACAGATATTTGTGATAACATGGAAGAAGAAGAAGAAGAAAGTATCATTCCTGATGAGATACAAACAGATGCCACAGAGTATGTTGAAAGAAATAAAAATTCTGTTTTTTTAAGAGCAGTTGATGAGGAGATTTATGAGATAGTTAGAAATATGAAGAATAAAACCAGTACAGACTGGAATGATATTGATATGAAAACACTGAAATGTGTGATTGAGGGCATTGTAAAACCATTAACACACATTTGTAATCTTTCTTTTCAAAAGGGTTTTTTTTCCAAATAACATGAAAGTAGCAAGGGTAATTCCTATTTACAAGACAGGAGATAAGCATCAATTTACAGCAGGATCTGTTGGAAGCCACACATCAAATATGTTATGGGGAAGCTTGCACGGGGCATTGCTATATTGGGGAAAGCTAAGTATATTTTTAATCAGAAAGCACTTTATATATTATACAGTACGATGCTACTGCCATATTTGAGCTATTGTGTAGAGGTCTGGGGAAACACGTACAAAAGTAATTTACAAACAATAACGACAATGCAGAAAAGGGCTATCAGATTAATAACAAATGCAGGATATTTGGATCACACAAATGAACTTTTTATTAAAACACGGACAATGAAGTTCCAGGACTTGGTTAAGTACAAAACAGCACAAATAATGTATAAAGTAAGAAATAAATTAATGCCAGATAAAATTCAGAAACTGTTCACAGAGAGAGAAGGAGGATATAACCTGAGAGGGACACTAAACTTAAAGATACATAAGTTTAGAACAACATTAAAACAGATGTGTATCACAATAATTGGGGTTAAATTATGGAACAATTTAGAAGAAGAAATCAAAGTAAGTACAAATATAAATGTGTTTAAAATGAATTATAAAAAACATATTCTGAACAAGTATATAGTGGAAAATAGATGATTTATGTGGGTGTCCTTTATTCCAAAGAAAAGTAAATTGTATCAATTGTAAAAAGATGTTTTTTTTGTTTTTTTGTTTTTTTCCATATAATTTGGTGGTTTTTTGGTGACTTGTACCATTTTGTTTGTTTTAATGTAGGTTTTGTGTTAGATTTAAGTAAACAAGTAAAAATTACTTGTATAAAGGGGTAGGGATATATAAGTTTCCACTTCAGCCTACTCCTTTTCAAACATAGAAGGGATGATATGTATTTTTTCTGTTTGTGGTGCTTTTTAAAAAATTATGTATGTTTTCTTTGTTTGAAATAAACTAAACTAAACTAAAGACATTTGTGATAACATGGAAGAAGAAGAAGAAGAAGAAAGTATCATTCCTATAGCGCCTCTCAAGATAAAAATCACGAGGCGCTTGACAAAAACAAAAAATGTAAAAATATAAAAAGCATTTAGAAAATGTTTAAAAATATATTTAAAATGAGCAAAAATAGACAATTGTGATTAAAAAAATGTTAAGAAAGAGAGAAAGTGAACAGAAAAGAGGGAAGATGGGTGCTCGTCTTTCCATTAACTGATGGCCCAGAGGGCATAGGTCAGGCATGTCTGAACAGCAGCCCAGGGGCCATTTTCAGTCCTCAGGATGAGTTTGTGCGGCCCCCAGTTGCATTTCTAGAATGGTAAATTTTGTCCCTCCAGCACGTAGTGAAAGTGCGTGTGCATAAACTGCATATATGCTGCTCTGACATCAGAACACTTGTTTGAATATGACCAAATGAAACATTAGCCAGCTTAAAACTTCCTCAATATTCCAGGTAATAAATGCGTTCAGGCTGGCATGCTGATACTGACCGGAAGTATTCTTCTGCAGTCAAACCTCTTACCAGCACCCCGTACGGGTAATATTCTAAATTAGAAATGAAAGAGGACAATAAATATCCCAGTAAGTAAAATTAAACTTGTTAAGTAGGTGACTTTAGAACTTTTAATGTCACCAAAGTTTATCTAACAAGCTTAATTTTACTTACCGGGATATTTATTTTCCTCTCCTTGTCTTTTGCACAAAACTGATTTCTGCAATTTACCACCTGACTCCTTCCTGGGCCATCGTGAATGGAGACCTCTGCTTTTAATGCTGTGCTGCATTTACTTACAATCAGACGTTTGAGCTTTACTGTGAAAATGTCATCTTACATTTGATATTTTATGGTTCATATACTCTAGATTAAATGTATTTTTTTGTTTATATGTTATAGAAGAGTGCTGGTGGTTTTAAACTTCATTCACTTTTGGATGCTGGAGGTCACTATGCTGATCGAGACCTTCAAAGATGCAGACATCTTCCCCGGATGTATCTTGTCTCAGAGGTCCACAGACACTACCTTTGACCTCGTGCTTGGTTTGTGGTCTAACCATCGACATATAAATACTGGACAATTCATTTCCATAGACTCCAATAACACGTTTTTGAGGCCAAATGGGAGGTGGCCACCACCGCCATTTTGACCGTGTCACAGGTTCCTTCAAGCCCAGACAATTCCACAAAAGGGAAGAGAGGTGGAGCTGAAGGTGGGGCTGTAAGGCTGGGACCAACTGACGACACCCGGTCGAACTAGCTACAAGCTAACCTGAAGCTAACCCAAAGCAAATGAGGTGGGAGCTAAGCTAACGGAGGTAGCAACCTAGCTACAACCGAAGTTAACTGTGCACAACACCAGAACTTCTGAGTCAGAGATACGCCGGGCTGGCTGCTGGGTAAAACCGGGTAGAACACAGAGGTCTCCGAGACCTCCACAAGCTGGCAGCCGCACAGCAGACAAGCGCCGCTGCGATCTGAGATGCGCAGAGCTGCCGCTGGGGAGAACCGGGTGGAAAGGTTTCCATCCCAGAGCTCCACAAGCCGGTAGCCCGCGCAGCAGGGGAGGCGTTAGGCCCAGCTACTTGAGCTCAAGCCCCGAATATTTTATGAAAAGCCCCGGATCTCAAACGTGGAAGTAACATGCAGTACCAAAGTCCAACAGAGAGGGAGCAGCTGGCAGTAGTTTGTATACAGCCTGCCTGAGCCTCCACCACTGAAGAAGCCCTTCAGCGGCCGGCTTCTTCTACACTCTGCCTGAAACGCATGAGTGAAGATGGACATAAGGACGTTTTTTTAGACAAAAAGTATGGCGACAGAACCCCAGCTTTGATGAGACTGGTGTTGACTCAGGTTTGTGAGTCTTATTTGAAAATATTTGTTGTGCTGCTGGTTTGCCTAAAGTTAGCTTATCAGGTAAAGTTGATGGAGAAAGAACGGGAATATTTACTATCATCTCACACTAAACACTAACAGGAACAATACTCTGCCCTGAATATGCTTAATATGTAGCTTCAGATTAAAAATTATGTGGTAAAGACAAATATATATGATGTTGACTAGTGCGTGTCACGTGTGTGTGTGCGTGCGCGTGCGTGTGTGTGTGTGTTAACCCCCAGATCTTCTTCAGTCCTAAATCCGCCCCTGGTCGGAACCCAGCTCCACCAACATGTTATATTTTCTAAAGTGCAGCATTATGTTAAATGCACTGGGTTTTACCCTATTACATTTAAATTTTATGGTTAAACAGTACATGTTAAAATCTAAGCTCAGCTCGGCAGTGACCTAAAATACATAAATATAATTTTACTTACCGAAAAAAATGAAGTGGAGACTCCTTGGACGCTCTATTAGTGCAATTAATGCCACAGCAAGTCCTTTTGTCCAACAATTGCACAAAAAATATCCAAAAAAGAATACACAAACACAGAGACTCAAAATCCTGGAACATTTTCCAAGCCAGACCAAGGCTCTACTGTGGTCACGTGGGACTGATACTCGTTAATTATACAGAATTTTAGGCTTTTAATACACTTAAACAGAAGAGTGAGAAAAAAAGTCACCCCCCTCAGAGTTGTCATAAGTGTAAACTAGATCATTTAAACCAAAAACATTATTTGGAACCAGGCTGTAAACATGTTTATTTCTGCTGTGAAATTGGTATTTTTAACATGGGAGTCAATGAGGATTTGCTCGCTTCTGACACCAGCCCCTAGTGGATGAGGGTAGAACTGCAATTTGTGTACTTCCGGGTTGGCCTCAATTTTTGAGCCGCTTTATGCCTCCCCTGTTGAGCTACCCCCGAGCTCAATAACGGCGGCCCTCCCAGCGAACAACACAATTGAAAGAAAATAAATAAATAGTAATAATGTAATTAAACAGACAGGACTCCAGGTTTAAATATGAATGTATGGATTTTTGGGCCATCCCCAGTGAGATTATTTTTGTTTCTTGCATACACACTTTATGGCCATCCCCAGTGAGATTATAAAACACAGATACCACCAACAAATAATCAGTTGCCGGACAATAGGCACAACATACCTATGCTTACTTAAGTTAGCAGGTGAGTAATGTATGTGCAAGTGTTTATTTTAAATGCAATAAGATAAAACATCAGAAAAAGTAATTAGTGGTAATCGTTTTAATGAACTCCTTAAGCCCACTGGCCTCCATTTTTGGGAGCACGCCTCCTACAGCAGTAGTGGGTCTAAGTTCATACGAGTGAGTAGTTAATATTTATGTTACTATTTGTGATGTTTTATTGCTTCTTTACAGTGAAAAGTTGCTGATGCGTAATTTTTAGGCATATTTACATGTGTATATATGCATTTCATATATTCTGTTAACAGGAATAATTGCTGGCCCTTTGACACAAAATATATTGATTTAGAAATTACTAAAATATTTTGCATTAGGTATACAATTCACAAGACTAGTAAACTGATATTGACCATACACTAATCTGTAAAGAATATACTGTAAACACAAAAGCAGAAAAGTTTGGCTTTCGAAAAAAAAGTTCTGACAAATGAAACAACCAGCAACAGCTTTTA